GTATTACCAAGTTGCATATGTAGCTCTATAAAAGGTTAAAAAAATTCATTTTGATCTAACAGAAGTACACGTGAATTAATTTTTTAAGGTATCTGAATATTAGAACATATAAATTAGAATAATATTATATATCTAATATTATATAGTAATATATAGATTAGAATAATATTATATATCTAATGTATCTAATATTGGAACATATATATTAACTATCACGTATTTCTAACTTACTATATATTTCTTAATATCATCAGTTAAATAATTATACTCATTTCTTAAATCCTCTATACATCGTTTGCCACACGTGAAACACATTTGTACCATTTTAACCCTTTGCACTCGAGAGGTGATCTTCAGTCACCATTTCATAAAATTTGGAAGAACGATATTAATTAATATGTCAAATTTAATGTAACAGTGTGCGAAGTATCGAAATCAAATAATTCTACAATTCTCTTATTATACAATTCTTTATTTTCTGTTCAAAAAGGTATCGTCAGTTTTTTAATACAGAATCTTCCAATTTCTACTCTTCTTTAGCCAAAAGATCGTCGAGTGCAAAGGGTTAATACTCGCACAACTCACGAAGTGAATTATTCGTTTGCACCATTTCGGGTTGCCCGTAGCAACTAACTATGCGAATAGTTGACACGGTAGCTGAGAACTAACGATGCAGCAAACCTAGCCACAAGTGTCCATCTGCCGGTAAATAATTTTCAATCAACCCCGAAATATTGCGAGGCCAAGACATCGGAAGAATCACCCTCGTCCCTGAAGGGCCATTCACCGAATCTCCACCGCGAAGACAATTCGTACTTCAAAAGGAAAGACTGTAAAAAAGCATAAAAACCCGGCGACATCTCGTGGCAGGAGGGGGCGTCGACGCGGCCACGGAGATGCTCTCAAGAAAATACACGCCGTAAGAGCGGCGACGTTATAAAGCAATGACGATAATGGCCGTGGAAAGCGTGGCACGGTTCGCTGAGCGCGAGAACCAGCCAGCCTTCGTATCCTGCGAACGCTTCAGCCGGTACTTTTAAACAATTGCAGCGAATTTTCAGGCTGGCCAGGGTCGAGCCGCCTGTTCCAACGTCGGCTGAAGGAACAGGGATAACCTGGCCTATGGGGTGGGGTGGGATTCACGGAATATTTCGAACTACGACAAGCTTGTAAAAATGGGGAATCTCCTTAGAGAGATCGGATTATCAGGCGAGCCCTGCCGATTCCGCCCCGTTTTCCCATTTCCGGCGTCGAGTTTCCTACCTGTAGCAAGGGATTACAAGCGAAAGACGTCGCGATTAAGCATTGTTTTGCCGGGACGGTCGTTTTGCATTTAATAAGTCCGAGTGTTTCGGAATCCTGCCAGCCGGATGGAATCTTCTCGCGATTTCTCGAAACGTAATCCACCCCGCTTCGCGTCTTAGTCCGTGTCGCTGGTACTGTCTACGCGTTTTTCTTCCCGCGATTACTTCGGGGTTATTGCGCCAGCCGGAACGGCGGGGAATGTAGTTCTCGAATGGTGGCAAGCGTGCATTAAGACGATTCGAGGAATGGTGCTTTCGGTTGGTTTCGTGTTCTGTTCTTCCCTTCCTGGTGCCGGGATGAGTAGACACGTGGGTAGGTGAAATTGTTTGACTCCAGAGACTTTTTCCTCCAGATTTGGCAGACGTGATTTGATGGTTTTGGAGGTTAGAAGTAGGTTGAAATATGGGATGGGATTTCTCACAATATAGGTTAGGTTTCTGAGTATATGGATTCAATGTGAGATGAAAAATTGTATTTCTTATGTACTGTAATTTATTTTCTTTCGTGACTTTTGGATTGAAGATGCAAATATTATTTACTATACGTTTATTACACATCCTATACGCAATAGTACTGTTTTTCATATCTATATATTTAAGGTTTTGGAGGTTAGAAATATATTGATGTATGAGATGGGATTTTTAACAATATAGGTTAGGTTTCTGAGTATATGGATTCAATGTGAGATGAAAAATTGTATCTCTTATGTACTGTAATTTATTTTGTTTCGGGACTTTTAGATTGCAGATGCACATATTATTTATTACACACTGATTACACGGCTTATGCATAATACCGTTGTGTTTGATGCCCATTTATTTAAGGTTTTGGAGGTTAGAAATATGTTTATATATGGGACGGAATTTCTAACAATATAGGTTAGGTTTCTGAGTATATGGATTCAATATGGGATGAAAAATTGTATCTCTTATATTGTACCGTAATTTATTTTGTATCGTGACTTTTAGATTAAAGATGCAAATATTATTTATTATACATTGGATTGCACGTCTTATGCGCAATAACACTGTGTTTCGTGCAGATATATTTAAGGTTTTAGAGGTTAGAAGTGTATTGATGTATGAGATGGGATTTTTAACAATATAGGTTAGGTTGCTGAGTATATGGATTCAATGTGAGATGAAACATTGTATCTCTTATATTGTACTGTAATTCATTTTGTTTCAGATATTATTTATTATACATTGATTACATGTCTTATGCATAATACCATTATGTTCTATCCACATATATTTAAAATTTTGGAGGTTAGAAGTATGTTTATGTATGGGATAGGATTTTTAACAATATTGGTTAGGTCTGACAGCGTGGGTTCAATGGTTAGGTGTTCTGTGGGATGAAAAATTGTATCTTTTACGTGGTGCTGTAACTTATTTTATTTCATGACTTTTTATTCAGAGATGTTACTATTATTTATTATAAATTGATAACACGTCTTATGCGTAATACTACTGTGTTTCATGCCGATATATTTAAGAACGATTTATTTATTTAAAATTAATGTGTTGCAAATTTTCATTCTACCTGAAGTTTACCAAATTTTATACTACGAGGGAGTCTAATTTGATGTGTCCATAAGAATTAAAAGAAGTCAGGATGATTATAATTTCAGGGAACATAGAATATACTTAACATCTAAGTTCTTGAATAATATCTACGATAATTATTCTTTGTTTTCCGGTATACATATTTTAGCAGCAG